GTTGTTGTTGTTGTTGTTGTTGTTGTTGTTGTTGTTGTTGTTGTTGTTTTCTTGTTTCTTTTAAAAGTGAGACATCTTCCTCTAGTGACTCTAGGGAGCAAGACATTCCATTCTATCATACATGCGACCGAAGAAACCTCTTGCAAGCTCTGCAAAAGAACCAGCAGCCGGAGTACGCTGTTGCAAACTTCTTGCGATTGTGCTCCCGGAAAGCATGGAAGCAGACAAACCAAGGAAAGCAGAACTTATTCAACCACTTCATGCATGTAAGGAACGTCAAGAGGAAGCTACACCACATAGTGGGCGATCCACACGATCTATTCGTGTTGCGAATCCTTTCATGTGCATTGAAACTGACTGTAAGCAGCAACTGACAGACGATGAGACTTGTAGGTTCCAAATATATGAGACATTCCGCAACACAAGTGGAATGCGCAAACAGGCCGTACTGACAGCAGGAGTCTGACAGCAACTTCTGCTGTGTAGCAGCATCTTGGCATTTTGCAAGCAGAGCACATTTAGGACTCATGTTTACCACAACTCGCTGTCAAAGGATGAGCAAGTCTGTTCTTCTGCGCCTTCGCCGAATGACCCAAAACGCACGCGTGACACGTCTCACTCAAGGCGCTCGTGTGGCTGCCAAACAGAAGTCTATCAGGTGCATCCTCTTGGCGCACTGGGAATCATGACATATCACGACCATGGCCGGATAGTTAATAGTCACCAAGGCTAGGTAGCTCTCGCTCCAAGGATACTGCAGACTCTCACAGAATTGCATAGGGGCCATAGGGTGACTTCGCCAAGTTGATGTTGACGTGCGGAGATGGCAGTGGGGCTGCAAAGGTTGCTTTTGCTGCCACTGCTGTCATTTGGATTGGGCTGGTGGGCTTTTGTTTCTGGCACTATTATTATGAAAGTGGATTTCACTACTTCAAGCCAGCATGGCTTGAAGACACACCACCAAGCTTGCCGTGCTTCAAGAACACTGGTGGCACTTGCCATTTGATGCCTTGTTTCGGATGGCGTGGCAATGTCACATGCTATCAAGGAAGGTGCCTTTGCGCTGGACAAAGTTGTGCAGGAAGTGATGGAATTTGCCATCATGTGGATGAGTGGAAGGCCAACATGCTTGCACAAGGCGTCAAGTTCCGCTCTGCGAACTCGTCGTATTTGGCCATTTCGCCCAACAGCTCGGCAGAGATCACTTCCAAAGCGGAGATGGCAGCAAGGTTTACGATTTACCGAGTGCCTGGAGAACACGGTAAGGTCCTGTTGTCGAGCTTTGAGCATCCTGCATGGGTGCTTTCCACATCAGTTGTTTGGGATGAGTGTTCGCAACATGAAACGTACACAAAATATGATGCTGATCCGGGAAAGAGCGGGGTGCAGACGGTTCGTGATGACTCGCAGCCTGGTGGAATGTTCAGTATGTCATGGTGGACAACAAATGAGCACGATTCTGAGTGGCATGGTTACATCCATTCACCAGGGACCTTGTGGGTGGACTGGTACCGGATCAATTCGTTTTCGGGGAAGCACCTGCATGGCTTTGCGTATGACGGCAAGCCTTTGAAGCACGAAGTCCTAACATTGGTGCAGCCCACACAGGATATGTCGCTGCTTCCTCATCAAGTAACAGTTGACTTGAGAGTCAGACCTGTGAGCAAAGTCATAATGACATTCCAGAGCTCTTCACAATCTCCTCCTGTTGCAGCCCTCTCTTGCATGAATGAGTTGTCTGTGTGGAGCCAGACATGCTTGTCAACGGATGCAGGAGCTTTGACAGTCGATTGGCCTTTGTATCCATGCAGCTCGGCACCGCAATCGCAGTGGCAAATGGAACCACCACAGAGTGGCATGAACAATCTGACCTGGAGTTCGCTTAAGGATTCTGCTGCTGATGCACCAACAACCTGTCGCGAGCGCCAAATGTTGGGACCAAAGAGCACTCCATTGAATCTCTTTGGGAAGTCTTTGCTGCTTTTCCCTCTCGGGATGGCGTGGTATGCTTGCCTTCCGAGGTTCATGTGCTCAGCAACAGATTTGTGCACCCTTCAATGTGGGTGGGGATGGGCTTTTGGGAACCCAATTCCACTTCCATTCCCGGTGTGTTGGTGTTGGCCGTGGTGTTTCTCGTGGTTAGCGAGATGCCCCCTGGCGACAGTTGCTTTTGTTGGCATGATGCTGTGGACACTGGTTATTGCTCTTATTGACTTGCTTTGGTTTATTTTCAATGGAGTGCTTGCACTGGTCTTGATGCCGGTCTTTGAACAAAAACACTGGCAGCACATGGACAGAGCAATCCTGATTTGCTTTCATGACGTCGGCTTCACCTTCTCTGCGACTCCTTTCTACCTCTTGTACATGCTTTACGCTGTTTCTGAACTCACAATCAACTGGAAGGGTTGGCAAGATGGGACAACTCCGACATCGCTTTTGTTACTTCAAACAACTGTTGCCAATTCTTGGACCGGGTTTCAAGTCATTGATGTGTTCACAGATGTGGCTGCATTGTTGGGCTATTGCATGAGCTATCCAGCCTGGTTTTCTGCTTTGTGGGCCATCACAACCGTGAATTCCTGCGCAGCTGTTTGTGCTGTGACAACCGGGGCCCTCTCTTACGAGAATTGCTTGTTGGCATCACTTGTCCTAGAGGATTCGTTTCAGTGCGTCTTGGTGCTTTTATCCTGTCTTCTGGGAGGCGCCTTCCACACTGAGATCCATGAGTTTATGATCTACTCCGCTGCATTGTCAGTGCTTGGCGCTGCAAAGTCAACCATGCTTCTTTGGTCACGATACCGTAACCACAGTGAGAACAAGTATGAGCCTCTGACATCCAAGACCAAGTCCCGCGAGATGCAAGTTTTCTCGTGCCCACGCACCACTAGCAGTTGCAGCTCGGGTAGCTCTGGATCGGACACCGGATATTGCTGAGTAGCGACAGGGCAAAAAAGAACGCTGGCGATTGCGAGCAAGTGTGCCCGGCATTGTTAGAAAGGTCTCTGTTGAAAGCCATGGGCCATAGTGTTTCATTTCCTGTAGAACCAGAATGGGTGAGTTCATGTGCCCCAATCCCTGTGTTAAGCGTATGCTTAGACTGGTGGTTAGTTGTAAAAGAACAGCACACATGTGGTTTTGGCACAAAACCAACGTGAACAGTTGGAGGAAATGCCGGTTTTTCCTTCTATACCCGAAGAGTTTGTCCGGACTTCTTCCAGCAAAAACCGCGCCTCCGCTCCGCCCACAACGCCGGTCGTCCCGCCCGAGGTGAGTTTCGCTCCGACGAAGACGAAGAGCGCTCCTGTCGTTTGGCGCTGCTGCTGAACGCCGCGCAGGCCGCCCTCCGGTGCTTTGGAGTCGGAGAGCGTTGGAGGACGGCTTGAGAGCGGAGCCGAGCGTGTTGGGGGAAGGAATTCAGGAAACAGATCCGGAGGAAGAAGTTCCTGTTTTCCAAACATGGTGGTGCTGTTTCCTCCGGAATTCAGGAATTCATACTTACTAGAAAGTTCCTGATCTTTTTTTCCAAATATGGTGCTCAGCTCTGGGAAATGGACAGTTGATCAAAGTTGTAAGGATATGTGGTTCCTGACCTGGTCTAAGAACTGATGTGCTATGTCCAAGATCGCCTGGTTTTTCGAAGTGTGAAACGTAAGGATACGGCACTTGAGGTATTGTTCAGATGGAGCATCCCATCGAAAAATAATATGATCAATTGGGAGTTACCAGATTGTTTCAGTGCGCCAGAAGGCTTTCCTCATGAGAGAAAGCATTGAACTTGACCAGACCCACTGGCTTCGGTCAAAACACACAAATCAGTGCTGATGTCCCTTCGCAAGGGGAAGGCCCTCTATGGATTTCTCGATCATTGAAACACTTCGGGAGAGACAAAGAGTATTTATTTGGGCACTATACTATGCACTATACCTCAGATGAAGAATTGGTCACTGAGGTGTGACAGCTGTGCAGCGGCGATTGCACACGCGACTGCAGCATTGGAGTTGGAGTCGCACCATCAGAGACCTGATCTTGTGGGCTGAGATTGGAACGTTTCTCCGCTGGAGTTATACCTCCATTTTGGAGCTATATGAATCAGGGAGTACAAGTTGTGTATTGCCTAAGCTGGACCATTGCATGCTGCAGTCATGCTGGCATACTTAAGAATACTTGCGATACTGCAGCGGACCTGCAGCTGACCTGCTTGGTCGTGTTGACGCTGCACCAGAATATGCTAGCCACAAGCTGCTTCATGGTAAGGTGTGGCAAATTGCAAGCTCAACCAGACGAGTCCGCACTAGCAGTCTCTTAATTGAGCAACCTGTGGTGAAGCCTTCCAAGGCAAACGATGAGTTGCCCCAAATACGGTTGTTTCTTTTTGGCTGACACAAAACAATCATTTGTTGTTGTGCTACTAGGTTGAATTCTTTTGGGGAAACCGAATCCAAGTAGGCATCTGATGTGCTCGGGCCGCAGCCGTTGGGCCTGAAAAACCATGTCCTTCTGACCACCGCAGACCGTGACGACTGGTCAGACCCTGACTTCACTGCATCCTGCTGCTGAGGAAAGCCCTCTACCGCCGTGCTTTGGCTCGGAAGTCTTCCGGTGACCTCGAGGCCAGGACCCACGAGGTGGACGGAGATGGACGGGTTTGTTCGTGACAGGGTGGATCCCGACTTTTAGATGGACAACAACAGCAAACATAAAACGTCTAACGAAACCCATCGTTTCACAACCTTAAAGGCCTTTTGTTTAGGATTATCATTGATGATCAAGGATTTTTTTTTGAAGCGTCTAAGCCTAAAGCATCCTAAAGTTCATCGATGATCATGTTTTCCGAAGCTTTCCCCCCCACAGCGCAGTAGGGCGAGCGCCGCCATCAGGGGGCCCAAGCGGACTTCTGGACTTTGCTGAAAGTCTCCAACTTCGACAGCAAGGAGGGCTGAATTCGATCAAACTCGGATGGTGTGGATAGGGCGGATAGGACATCTGATAGATTGTTTTGCACCCACAAGGGGTGGTTAATGGACACCCCTTAACCTCTAAGGTGCTATCAATAGAACCCCCTTAGCCCTTAGGGCCTGGTGATGGGACCACGTTTCATATGGTGGGCCTGCTCTGAAAGCAAATCACTCTTCTAGCCCGAGGATCAACTGATCCAGTATTTGCGAAAGGAACAGAAAAAAGGTTTGGATAGACAGGACTGCAAGCCCCAAAAGAATCACAGAATCAGAGGTTGTAACCAGGATTAGGCCCCCTAGTTTGGGGCGAATGCAGAGAGGATTTTTGTGCGAGGGAAAGATCTCATTGAGCTGATGAATTCCTGTATTCAGGAATCCCTCAGCCAGCTGATGCAGATGATGTCGAAGGAGGAGGTGCAAAAGCAGTTGCTTTGACTGCAGAGCCATTTCCTTGCACATGTGCAGCTATTAAGAAGGATAGGAGACGAGTCTACGAAATGTCTAGAGATGGGTGCAACCACTGAATGATGTCCTATTGATGTCTTTTGCAACTTTTCTCTACCCTTAACATACGAATTCACATTCCACAACAACGATGAGCCCTCAGAGAGAGACCCTCTCTTCGACCAAGCAGAGGGCAGAGCCATACATGGGACGTGCTGGACCTCGGGAAGAGTTCTTTGCGATGTTTGTTTGGCCGAGGTTCAAGCGACTGAAAAAGGAAGTGGAAAAGGAAGAAAAGATCGGCTCGATGCTCAAGGATGGGCGCAGAGATTTTATTGTGAGTTCTTGTGTTTCCCATGCCCAGGCGCTCAGGCAGAGGGGATCATGTATAATTAATTTGGCCACCTGAAACAGTGGAAAACATATATATATATAGTAAATAGACCAAGGCGAGTTGCTTTCAAGCCTTTGACCGTGTCATGACACTCCACCGAAGCCGTGATGATTTGTCACCGGTGTCCACTAGCGAAGCCCTTCGCAGCGACGTCCCGCGGATGAACGGTGGGTGGTTGAAGACTCGGCGCGTTGGGTCTTCGGCAGGAGATGGACGAAGATGAACGGATTGCTCTACAAGATGAGCGAGACTTGGACGTGACGAGGTGACCAGGTGGTGGCGTTCAGGTGGTGACGAGGTGACCGTGCGCCTGGCTTGAAGCGATGTGGGGGTCTATATACTGTACTATATCTGCTTCGAGTTCGACAGTGCGGAGGCAAATGAATTAGGGCAAGCAATAAGGATGGCTTGTCAATGAGGTCCTTCTCCGTTGCTCAGGGGCTTATTGTACGAATCCTTAGAGCCTTACTTGGGACACCACTGGATGGCTTTGTTCCATCGGGTCAGCCAAGCCAACCAACAAGCACAGGAAACTCCGTCCGTTCCACTTCAGTTTACACAGTGAGGACCACAATTTTTGACCACCATGATTTGCTTGCTTCATTTGGCTTCCTCCCTTTACCTTCGGACCAGATCAGTTTGCAGGTCTACTGGTCAGTCTACCATGATACAATGATATACCGTACCTGATTTTGCGGATCGGGTCACGTTATTTTCCTTTATATAATATATAGGTGCAACTCCCCTTCCTGGGAATACGTGTATCTTTTCCAGTTCCTGCGGCAAATCTATATGTGATATATATATAATATATCTATATAGTAGTAGTTAGTAGTAGTTAGTAGTTAGTAGTTAGTAGTAGTTAGTAGTTAGTAGTTAGTAGTTAGTAGTAGTTAATAGTTAGCAGTTAGCAGTTAGTAGTTAGTAGTTAGTAGTTAGTA